CTCAAAGAGTCTTCTCTAACATCACAGTTCAAAAGCATCCATTCTTGGGCACTCAGCTTTCTTTATAGTCCAACTCTCACATCCAAACATGACTACTGGAAAAACTATAGCCTTGACGAGATGGACTTTTGATGGCAAAGTAACGTCTCTGCTTTTTAATATGCTGTCTAGGTTGGTCATAACTTTCCTTCCAAGGAGTAAGCATCTTTTAATTTCATGGCTGCAGTCACCATCTGCAGTGATTTTGGAGCACCCAAAAAATAAAGTTTGCCACTGTTTCCCCATCTATTTGCCATGAAGTGATGGGACCAGATGCCATGATCTTAAGTTTTCTGAATGTTGAGTTTTAACCAGCTTTGTCACTCTCCTCTTTCACTTTCATCAAGAGGTTGTTTAGTTCTTAACTTTTCTGTGATAAGGGTGGTGTCATCTGTATATCTGAGGTTATTGATATTTCTCCCAGCAGTCTTGATTCCAGCTTGTGCTTCATCCAGCCCATCATTTCACATGATGACCCATTCCATGTTTTAGCTATTGTAAATAGTCCAGCACCCACATTTTAACCACACACTATACACTTGTCATCCTTAAAGGCTTGTGTTTCTCGAGGTCCTGACTTAAGATCTTTTTCAAGTAAGATAGATGGTAGGTCTCAAGAGGAAAAGTCGTGTTTAAAAGATATTTTGGGGTAGAAGGGAGGGAAGAAGAGAGATTTGATATCCCCTGGGCTCCATCTTTTCAGCTGAGTGGGAGAGGAAGTGATGCTGACGTTGAAGGAAGCAGCCAAGCCTCAGGCCTGAAGTTGTCTAGGGAAGAGGATGAGGGTGTGATGAAACCAGAAGCACTGCATTAAAAATGGGTTACACGGGTGAGCATGTCGTTTTCTTGACCAGCTCTTGACTCTGTGCTGTGTCTGTGCCTGTGGAGTCTTTGCACCATGCAGGACCCAATGTGCAGAGAAGGAGCTGAAGAAGGGGAATTGTTACCTCCGTCGCTGCATGGAAGGTACTTGGGAACTGAGGCGAGAGTCAGAAGGACACTGTGTGACCCTTGTCCTTACAGACTCTGGAGCTGGTGGAAGAAATGGGTCGTCTGCCGGCCAGCAGTTACTGAGAGTACAAGGCCATGGTGTGATCAAACTAATGGCAAGTTTAAAGAGATTGGAGTGTAGACTTGGGCCGGAGGAGTTGGAAGGGCTTCGGGAGGAAGAGGCAGTTTCTTACTGACAAAGGTGTTTGGTGACTGGTCAGGAACCAGGGAGGCATTTCAGATGGGTGGAAAAGGGGGGGAACAGGTGGTTTCATAAGAGTTTGGGTCTAAAGGAGTGTCAGCACACACTCCCTTCCAACCCTGCCTCATTAAATTATTCAGAATCACTACTGACTTCATACAATTCAGCCTAGGATTGATATCTCATTCATCAGGCTACATGCTAAAGTGGAAGAGATCAGAGTTCAAATTCGTTGCTCACTTGTTGTGTGGCCTTAGGGAGTAGCTTCACCTCTTGGGCCTCAAGTTTCAAATGTAGAAATGCATACTGTCTTTTAGGGTTTTGATGAGGCCTTATTGGGATAATGATCAATATTGAGCTTGTTTTAGATAATTAGTGTCAACCTTTTCTTTCAAAGAAGTTAAGAACAAGATGGATGATGCCCTTTATTTGCTGACAGTTCCTTTCTGAAGATGTGACTGCTGTGTATGTGTGTGAGTCGCTATGTCACGTCCGCCTCTTTGCGACCCCATGACTGTAGCCCCCCAGGCTCCTCTGTCCATGGGATTCTCCAGGCAAGAATTCTGTAGTGGGTTGCCGCTCCCTTCTCCATGTGACTGCTGATGAGTCTCCTGTAGACTCTGGAGCTGGTGGAAGAAATGGGTCGTCTGCCGGCCAGCAGTTACTGAGAGTACAAGGCCATGGTGTGATCAAACTAATGGCAAGTTTAAAAAGATTGGAGTGTAGACTTGGGCCGGAGGAGTTGGAAGGGCTTCAGGAGGAAGAGGCAGTTTCTTACTGACGAAGGTGTTTGGTGACTGGTCAGGAACCAGGGAGGCATTTCAGATGGGTGGAAAAGGGGGGGAACAGGTGGTTTCATAAGAGTTGGGGTCTAAAGGAGTGTCAGCACACACTCCCTTCCAACCCTGCCTCATTAAATTATTCAGAATCACTACTGACTTCATACAGTTCACCCTAGGATTGATATCTCATTCATCAGGCTACATGCTAAAGTGGAAGAGATCAAAGTTCAAATTCGTTGCTCACTTGTTGTGTGGCCTTAGGGAGTAGCTTCACCTCTTGGGCCTCAAGTTTCAAACATAGAAATGCATACTGTCTTTTAGGGTTTTGATGAGGCCTTATTGGGATAATGATCAATACTGAGCTTGTTTTAGATAATCAGTGTCAACCTTTTCTTTCAAAGAAGTTAAGAACAAGATGGATGATGCCCTTTATTTGCTGACAGTTCCTTTCTGAAGATGTGACTGCTGTGTGTGTGTGTGTGTGTGAGTCGCTATGTCACGTCCGCCTCTTTGCGACCCCATGACTGTAGCCCCCCCAGGCTCCTCTGTCCATGGGATTCTCCAGGCAAGAATTCTGTAGTGGGTTGCCGCTCCCTTCTCCATGTGACTGCTGATGAGTCTCCTGTAAATGTCAGCCTTCTGTAAGCCTGGAGTATATTTGCTGTCCTGTGGACTGTTGGTTTACACACCTCTCCTTCATTGATTTAGCCACCATATGAGGAGAGCTCTGATGGGCCAGTCTCTTTGTCTGTACCTCTGAGAATTCCTAATTCATGGAGGACCCAGATGGTTTTGCCCCAATTACTCTATAAAATACCCATCTTCCTCATATCCACGTTTTCCTGGTAGTACTTGTGAATTCTTTTTTATTTTTGACCTTTCCCCCATCATCTACATTATTAGATTTTTTAATCAGGAATTCAACAGTTCGAGTACCTGTGCTGTTTATTTCCACTGTGTAATTTTTCTTCGCATTTCTGTCATTTTGTGTTTCCTTGAGGGGTTGTTAGGTAACAGCTAGAAGTGCCATGCTGACTCACCATTCTGGTTTCTTCAGCCCAATAATCTTTAGAAAAAGGACAAGAAAATATGATCTCGGGAGAGCCATCTATTGCAGACTGAGACTGTTGTATGCTGTCTGGTGTTGACTTAAAGTGTTTCTCCCAGCCCCTTCATCTGTCACCTGAAAATCTATCTGCATTCTTCTGGAGTCTTTTTTTAATATTTATCTTAACAAATGTATTTATTTGGCTGCTCTGGTTCTTAGTTGTGGCATGTGGGATCTTGAGTCTTTGTTACGGTGTGTAGAATCTTTTAGTTGCTTCATGGGGGATCTACTCCCTCAACCAGGGATGGAACCTGGGGCCCCTGCACTGGGAGCGCAGAGTCTTAGCCACTGGACCACCAGGGGAGTCTCTCTTCTGGAGTCTTTATGGGCCTGCAGACATTTGTCTTGCACCTCTTTGGAAATGTGGAGCATATCGTGGTGGGAGGGAGCCTAGCAGAGAGGAAGGATGCCAGACGGCTGCTGTGGTGATAGTCCTGCTCAGAGGAAGGCTCACACTTGCCCAGGCAGCTGCGCATCAGAGCAGGGCATGCAGTGGGAGGGGAAGGCTGCCAGGCTGTCTCCCGAGGGGCCACCCAGCCTGGCAGGCTTTACCAGGGTGAATCTCCCAACGGCAAGGTTCAGCCTCCCAGCATTGCAGGCTGAGTTACAGTTCATGCGGCAGAGTATCCTGTTCGTGAGGAGGTAGATGAATGGACACCCAGAATACCAGCTGTTAATCTACACTGGGGACCCTGTCTTCCGGGGAGATGGGAACACTCGTGTGATGACCTTCTCCCTGCCCTGGAAGCCAGATCCTAATCTGAAGTTTGTCTGTGAGCACTGTCAGAGTGAGGGCAGTTAAGTGGATAAAGGAGAGAAAATTTGTGCGTCAGTGTGGTCTGCCTGTGCGTTTGGAAATCTTGAACTTTGGGGCTGTTGCCTGGGTGGGCACTGCCCAGGTTTGTCTCCCTTATATGTTTTGTGCAATTTTTTTCTGCATTGTTATTGTTTTTCCCTTGGCTGACTAAACCTCATTCTGATTTGAGTCATCCTTTCTTAAAATTCATTAGAATTTACAAATTGGCCCAGGTTATATCCTCCTCTCCTCCTTGGAGAAATTTAAAAATAACTCTGCATACCTCTGTTATACCCCAGATTGCTCAGAATTTTAAAATATAGCTTATATGTATCAGCAGATATAATCCATATCAATATAATTGATGTGAATTAATGTAATCCAGTATTATTTTTGATGAAATTGACATGAAGTCTGGGATTTGCTTCAAACTACTCTGGCACCTAAAAAGCAAACCAACAGCAAAGGGAGTGAAATAGGTGAAGATTGGAAAGTTTTCTCAGCCTTTTGGAAAGATCTTTATTTGTTGAAACTGGACGGTATGTGCATGGGGTCCATCATACTATTCCTTTGACTTTTAGTGTGTCTGAAAATTTCCCAGATAAAATAGCTCTAAATATGTACATCATTCTAAGGTTATCAGAGGTATAAATCTGAGTTCAGTCTGTATTCTGACTTATACATGAATACTTTGAAAAAATTCTTTGATTTTTATTGAAATTCCGGATATCACAACAATTTCTAATCCTCATTGCCCCTGACAACAGCATGCCAATTATGTGCATGTTTTTTAGGACTCGGGAATAATTCTGATATTTAACTTTATTGGATCTGTGTATAAAACTCTTGTCACAATAACTGACGATGTCCATTTTTGACTGAAACAACATTCAGTTATTTATGTAATGTGAAAATCAGTCACTACCATAATTTTAGTATTACTACCATCCCTTAAGAATGTGAAACAGTTACTGAGTGCTTTCTGGATTTTATGCCAGAAAATAATTTGGTGTTTTAGCTATTATGAACCGACTTCTTTGATATCACGGTGCTATTTCTCATTCCAGGTTTAAGTTTATCTATTCATGGGGCTGAAAAGCGTTTGCAAATCCACCAACGGCGAAGTGTGGCAAGCCGCGCAGGGTCACGCCGCCTGCCCGTGGTCAGGCATTCCTCACTTCCACCAGGCAGAAGGTCAGTAAAAATGGAGACGAGCTCTTCTGGAGTCACTAATGGAAGAACCAGAGTCTTCCACCCAGGTAACGCATGGGGACGGGTCAACAGGGACCTGGGTTAGCAGCAGCCTGACTGCCTGTACTATATTTTTGTCATCTAATTCTACCACGCTTCCAGTTAAGCTTACTTTTTAAAAGAGCCTTGGGTTTTTTCCCCCTTCTCTTCACTTCCATCAGTGGTAAATGTCCCCAAGACTAATTGGAGGGAAGAGGGCTTGAGGTATCAGAAAAGGTTAAGGCAACATTCCACTTACTGAGGTAGAATCTAAATGAAAATTCCACTGAATAGGCTTGCTCAGTTCAGAAAAGTTTACTGTGGAATAAAACAAGACAGAGATTTGGCCAGTTTCTTGAATTTTGCTCTAAGACAGCCCAGGGGAAATGTCATGGTGAAAAATGCCCACTTTGAAGCCTCAGTTATGTGGTTTAACTCGCCCATGTTTCTTTCTCAGGTGAAGGGAGACAACTAAAGTCATGTGAATTTTCAAGGCCCTGGGAAGTACCTGTGATCTCTTAAAAATGATAAAATGAGTCTATATCAAAGTTGGTATTTACAACCTCAAGTATTTGGGTGAAAGGCTCATTTAAGTATTCATTCATTCATTCAACACATTTCTTGAGTGCCTGCTATATGCCAGGCTCTGTTCTGAAAACTGAGGAAAAACAAGTGAACACTATTTCTGACTCATGGAAATAGCACATTGTGAGGAAATTCCAAGGTCACGTATTTTAAGTCTCCCCCAGTCCTGATTCCTGTGTGTAATGTGCTTTCAGGGGGCCAGCCAGCCTCAGCTGAAGTCGTTTCCTTCTCTTGCCATGTCATCTTCCTTCTCTCAGCTGATACCCTGGCTTCCTACCCTCACTGAGAAACCCACGGGCCATTGGGCCTGAGACTACAGGTTCCTGCATCTCCAAATATATCTCTGTCTACGCCCATCCTTCACTTCTCTCCTCTGGTTGTCAGGAGGCGACGGTCTTCCCACTGTCCTGACTGAGCTTTCACCTGTGTCCTTCACCAGTGGCCTTGACCACCCCTCCTCTCTTGGACCTTGATCGTTCCCCTCAGTTTGTGAAGAAGGCTGAAGCTTCTCATTTTAATCATCTTCATTTGACACTGCAACCTTTTCTCACTTCCGCCACTTCTGGTCCCTCCAAAGCCAGATTTCTGAAAGGGTAACTGTTGGCTTGGCTTCCCAGCCACTTGTCAACCCAATGCAGCCTGGTTTCTGCCTCATCCACACCATCATGGCTCTTCTTATTGACCCGCTTTCACCACAGTTTGGTGGGTGGCAGACTCTTCTGATGCACCCAACCACAGTGGACCACCACTTCTTCCCAAAGCATATTCCCTGACTTCCATGGCGACCTGCTTTCTCCGTTCTCCCATCACTTCTCTCACAGGTAACTCTGATGGTTCCCCAGCCTCTAGCATCTCTCTTGTCCTCTTGCCTCTTGTCACAGTACATGCTTCACACCAAATACAGAATGACTCATCTTCACCCGTGACCATGCCGTTCATCTTGCTTGTCCTACTCATTCCAGGGTAAAGGCCAACCCTCTTAGTATGTTAGCAACAAATGCCCACCATAATCCAGGCCCTAGTGCTCCTCATCCTTTTTTGCTCCTTTCTGTCTTAAACTTTACACTCTAATGTATCAGCCAAGGTTCAACCAGAAAAGCAGAGCCAGGAAACTTACTAGAGTTTTACTAAAAATCAACTTACATGATTATGAGGGCTGTCTAAGCAGGTCTGAAATCCATAGGGCAGGCTGTTAGGAAGGGCAGACTGGGAGCTATGAGCATGGCAGAGGTTGCTGTCCACGGGTACAATTTCTTCTCTAGGGAAGCCTCAGCTCTGCTTTTAAGACCTTTTGCCTGATTGAATGAGCACCCCTCCCTCATTGTGGGATAATCTCCCTTATTTGAAGGTAACTGATGATGGACTTTAAATCACCTTCACAGCAGCATCTTGGATTGGTGTTCACCAGTAACTGGGAACTCTAGTCTAGCCAAGTTGGCACATCAACCAGACCTTGAGGTCTGATCAGACTTACTTTCTTTCAGCTCTCCAGACACATGATGCTGAGTCATGTCTCTCCACCCTTGCTCATGCTGGTCTCTCTAGGCTACCCTGATTTTGTTCCATAATCTTGAATATTTTGAAATGGTCTATCTCTCCACCATAAGATCTTTAAAGTCATGGATTCTGCAATATTTATTTTTGTATCTCCAATAAATAAGTTTTAGGGTAGGACTGAACTGACCCTTCATTAGCTGGTTTTCAGATTATGACTATAGAGTTCCTTAAATTTTTTCCTGGCTTTTTAAAAGTGTAATTGACACATTACAATCGCTTTCTAATTGCTCTATCAGCCTTTCAGCAAATGTCTTACTGAGAGCCAGTTTGGTTGCCAGGCACTCGTTAGGTACTGAGAGTGAACGAAACAGAGATCCCTGCTCTTAGAGAGTTTCCATACCATCCAGGGGAGATAGACGATACATGGACATGGTAAGTAGTGTTTAGGAAGAAGATAAATATTATGGATAAAAGAACAAGGAGGGGTAGCAGGTGGTGGGGTTGTGTGTTACAGTTGTAATCAGGTGGTCCTCAAGGTGTAGGGATTGTGGAGAAGATGTGTCATCAAGGGCTAGAAGGCATGAGAGCCCTGTCGATGGGCAGGTTCATTCCAGCCCAGCGGACAGGCCCTAGGACAGGAGTGAGTCTTGCAGTCTGAGGAAGAGCACTGGACCCCCTGAGCCTGGACTGAGACGCACACATCAGCTCAGTGGGGTCAGGTGCAGCAGGGCCTTGCAGAGCGTGTAAGGACTTGGACCCCTCTGTGAAATGGGAGCTCTTAAAGGGTTGTGAACAGAAGAATCCTGTAAGTAGACATACTTTTTTAACAGGATCACTTTGGTTGTTATTTGAGAATAGATTACAGGGGTAGAGGATAAATGGGGGAAGGTCAGATAGGAGGCCACCATTAACAACCCAGTCAAGACATGATGGCTCTTCCTAAGGGGAGCAGAAGTGGTGGTGAGAATTTGGATACTGGATGTATTTTAAAGTTGGGCCAACACAATTTCAATGGGTTAAATGTGGAATAAGAGAGAAAGGAGAGCTAAGTAACTTTATGGTTTTATGGTTTTTGACCTGAGTAAATGGGATTGGTATCAACTGATATGGAGAAAGCTGAAGGGGAAGCAGAATTTAGGATCTGAGGGCAGAAGTGGGGTCAAAATTAAAAGTCTATGGGCAACTGAAGATACCACATGGATGGTGGGATAAACATAGTTGGAGTTTGAGAGACTGGGGTTTAAAGCCATGGTAGGAAAAGAGATGACCAGATGGAGAAGGGGGACAGGATTAAGGGCTGAAATCTGTTGCACCCCAATAGAAAAGGTCTCAATATAAACCACCAGCAAAGAAGACAGAGAAAGAAGAAGAAAGCTGGTCAGCAAGGTTGGAGATAAACCAGAAATTATGTGTCTTGGAAATTAAGAAAGTCTTACATGAAGATAGGGGTGATTATCTAGGTTAAATCTTGCTGAAAGTCAAGTAAGATGAGGAATGAGAATTGGCCTCTGATTTTAGTAAAGTGGAGATGGATGGTGATTTTGAGAAGAGCAATTGGTGAAGTGGTGGGGACGAAACCCTGATTAAAGTAGGTTTCATAGAGAACGAAAGCATGTGAATCGGATACTGAGAATATACACAGCTTATTAAAAGTAGTTTTGCTGTGAAGGGTCATGAAGAAATAGGGCAGCAGCTGGGGGAGAAGTGAAGTCGAAAGAGTTTCTTTTCAAAATAGCAATCTCCCATGGATCATTCATGGCACTGGGGAGATGGGGGAATTTGTGATGTGAGCAGCAGTGAGGGAAATGAGAGCTGTTCGAACAATAGAATCATGCAGCATTTATCTGTGATAACAAATGGGACGGGAGAGTGTGTGGATGCTGGAATGTGAGGAGGGTCTGAGAAGTTCTCTTCCCCTGTTTCAGGGCTTCCCTGGTGGCTTACATGGTAAAGCGCCTATCTGCGATGCAGGAGACCTGGATTCGATCCCTGGGTTGGGAAGATCCCCTGGGGAAGGAAATGGCAGCCTGCTCCAGTACTCTTGCCTGAAAAATCCCATGGACGGAGGAGCCTGGCGGGCTACAGTCCATGGGGTTGCAAAGAGTCGGACACGACTGAGCAACTTCACTTTCACTTTCACTTTCACTTCCCCCCGTTTCAGTTTTATCTGTAATCTGGGAAGGAAGGTCATAGCTGAGAACGAGGAAGGAGTGAGATGGATTGAGAGGGTGGTATGCTGGTGTAGACAGTGGAATGTAGTTGCCAGCCCGCATTAAAAGGCTATTTGAGGTTCATGGTCATAAAACCAAACTAGGACTAGTTACCATAAGTTGTGTGTTTTCCTTTAACCTTGTTCAGCTACTTGAGTGAAAACATAGAACATATGTGAGTGAGTGAGTGAGTGAAGTTGCTCAGTCGTGTCTGACTTTTTGCGACCCCATGGACTGTAACCTATCAGGCTCCTCCGTCCATAGGATTTTCCAGGCAAGAGTACTGGAGTGGGGTGCCATTTCACTCTCCAGGGGATCTTCCCTCCCAACCCAGGGATTGATCTTCTCTACCCAGGGATCGAACCCTGGTCTCCCGCATTGCAGGCAGGGGCTTTTACCGTCTGAGCCCCCAGGGAAGAGCCGAACTTCTGTTGAGTTGTCTTTAGTTTAGGATTGTGATCTTGCCAAGGAATTGGGAAAAGAGAGGGGGAACCAGAGGTGCCCTAGAGAGAATAATGATAACAACTGATCATGCAAGCTTGGTACAGAGGGGAGTGAAGACACCAAGGGGCATGAGTTTCAGTGGATAATTGATAGGATCAATTTGTTGGGGGTTCCAGAGGGGTTGAAGGGGTGTTGAGCTTAAGTTAGGGGAAGAAGAGCTGAAAAGATAAGAGGGGTAATCAGAGAGTGAATGCAGAACACTGATATTAAGGAGGGCATTGCTGTTATTAGTA